AACGTAATATTTGAAGTGACCAACTAAAATAGTAGGAATTCTGTTTTTGCGTCATGACCGAGGCAATGAAGGAACAAATACTGACACTTAAAGGTTAAATATGTCTTTCATTCTCAGTTTTTAAAGTGCGTAGAATTCATTTTCGAAGACTTTTAAATTTTTCGAAAATATTTGAGTCTTTGGATTTTGGACTATTATTTTTTGTAGTGATGCGCTTTGCTCGTCCCAAATTTTACGAAAATATTTGCATGCCAGTTGATCCAGTTGATACCACCAGCCAGCTCATTGGCTCTGCTCTTTGTCGTTTAACTGGACAGGAAACTGCTGATATACCTATTGGAAAATATCTTATGGCGCCGCAAAAGTTCGAGTAAGTCTGTAGAAAATTGATGGTCGATATTACAGTATATTCAGCACTTTTTATCATTTTGCTCACGTTCTCATCTTGGGATTTGTTTCTTCCAAACAACATTTCATACCATATGACATCAACTTGCAATTTATATGGAATTTGTGGCAACCGCTCTCTAGGATTTTTATAGCAGATAAAAAACTTTAAGAAATGTAACTTTGCAGGAATATATATTTGGGAGAGACCTTCACTTTCTATGTTTGCGTACAAAATATAAGTGATAAATTCGCTACGGATATATGTATCAAGGTGAATATATAATTCCCAAAAGCAAGTTTGTTGAAGTTTTCTTAATCTTGAGCTTATCACGTCAGTTTCCTATGAAACTATTTTATTAATTTATTTCTTCAGACTGATTTGCAAACTACAAGCCAACGTAACGCTTTGTCGTCACAGTTACAAGAAGCAAATGCTGTTCTGAAACCAGGGGAATGTTTGGGAGAAGTTATTACTCATGAAATTAAAGAAATTGGGCAGCACATGTATGTTTTGTTTGTTGTAAAATTGTATGGTATTAGAAAGTTGTTGAAGTTTTCGTGGTTGTTGGTGATGAGCAGTTCAGAGTATTGCGGAGTAAATTCTACAGTATAATCCTTTTATGATTTCTCAAGTAAACCGAATGATTTGATAATGAAATCCTCGAACTTCATCGACTAGTTCCATGGAATCATTATATTTATCTGGAATCCATCCTGGTTGAGTGCCTTATCAGCACCAAGGAAGGGGATTAATTATCACTTTACATATCTTTTGTGTTATTGATATATACGATTCTATTTGATTTAAATTAGACATAATTCTTTTAACGTTTTATTACACTTAAATTATCAGATTTTCTGTTCAGTAGCATGTTCGAGTTATGGATATATATTTAAGAAATAAAATTGAACCTTTTCCATCTACACTTATTGGATTTCATCATGACTTTTACATTCTTTATTGATCTCTTCCTTTGTTAATGATTTTTTTTACAGATAGAAGGAATTGGTTCATTTAATTAATTTTGTAGATTAGTGTGTGCGGTAAGCTACAAAACACCTAAAAATGAGATGTATTTTCGGAAATTTTTCAAATTTCCAGTTACGAAACCAATCGATGTTCGGACAAAGTTTTATAACGCGGAGGTAAATGTTACATTATGTATTATTTTTCATTAAGTTTATACTTCATTAAGGATACTTGATGTGTTATGTCAAATGCAATTTTGAAAGAAGTATTCTCCAGCGAATTACGTTGTTCTTATACTCAATAGTTGCGTGTGAGAAATAATAATTACTGATTTATGAGCACCTTTTTTCATTCCTTCTCACTGTTATTTAAAACGTGTTTTTCAAATTCTAAAACTAATTCTTCTAATTAGCCTTGCACTCTTCATTATATGTACGCAAGAAATTAAGATCGAAGAAAATATTCATGTGCTTTTAACTTCGAGAATTGTCCTTTCTAATTGATCTTCGTCTGTATATTTAATATAATTAGTTTGCTTTGCATGAGTATGCGGAAGAATGGTGTATAAAACAACGGCATTGATCTCAGTTACAGGATAATCTGGTGAGCTCATTTGCGTTGTAATCTAACTAGATATTTGAAAATTTATTTCTTTTTTTTAAAGAGATTAAAGATACGTCGTTAGAAATAATTTTTTATGTGAATGGATAATAAGCTTCGTTTTTTTTAACTCTAAATATAGAAGTATGACAGAGCAACTAAGAAACCATCTATAAAAAATGAGGAAGAGGAAAGTCATGTTTTAAACTCGTCTTTATAATAATTAACGAAATTTGCAGAATAATGATGTTTACTTGGAAGCACAAATTCAGAATACTTCTGAACTACCAATGGTTCTGGAAAAAGTAATCCTGGAACCATCCGACTTCTATTTGAGTTCTGAAATATCACCTCCTGAAACAGAGTTTTTTTTTTTTTTTCATGTTTTAATTTTATTTCTTCCACTTTCTATTACTTTTTCTAACGAACAGCAGTATGTTTTGCGATGGAAAATATTTCTGCTGAATTATATCAGTACTGAGGACGTTAGTTTCCTATCAAAATTTGTGTTGCTTTCGATATGCTGTTATAAGGACGAAAATGTGGTATAAAGCATGATATGTTCACCACAGTACGAGTTGATTGCATTACCAACTCCATGTAACTGATTAGTTAGTGAAGATATTTCTAGAAATGGAACCATGGACCAATCCTATCTCAAACCAAGTGATATTCGGCAGTATCTGTTTTGTTTAAAACCAAAAACAACAGATTATTCTCTTAATTATTTTAGGTGTGTCAACATTAACTTCTACTTTTTTCAGTACATGACATGGAAAACCGAAATATGTTTATATTAAGGATAAATTTGATAAAGAGTCATTCGCGATAAAGTTCAAAGAGACTTAATAAAAAGCAAAACTGGAAAATGGAGATATGGGATTTTTGAACCCCTTTATTGAAAATTACCTATCAGATTCTGTTTATAAAAATTTTACGACCCGGTCTTGTCCTTTATTTACATTTGCTAATCATAATGACATAGGTTATCTGTCGTTTAAGGAAAGGGACTTCAATTGGGAAACTTGATATGGTTTGGAGGACAGGTATGGGAGAGAGAGGCCGCCTACAAACGAGTGCTCTGCAGCGAATGGTCTGCTGTCATCTTGATATTTATTGCGTTTATTCGCTGTTTTTAGATTTGAGTACTGCATATATATATATATATATATATATATAACTTACAGAAATTCACTAAAGGATATATAACTTACAGAAGTTTAAAAAAATAGACTTTTTCTTTTCTTAATTTCCAGGCTCCAGGATATGGTGATTTGCGACTGACAATTGAAAAAATACCAGCAACGGTGAAAGCCTTGCAATCATTTCGCATAGTGTGTCGGCTTCGTAACTGCAGGTAGGTTCTTTCGTTAAAATACAAATTTACTTGGGCGTAGTGATATTTATCTTGCAATTAGTTTCTTTTATATTGCTAATTCTTTAGTGATTTAAATCTTTGATGTTGGTCTTGTTGCATGTTAGGACTTGAAGTTATGAATTACAGTTTCAGCGAACGTTCACTGGATTTGGTGCTGACTTTAGACGGCAAATTGCAACCAAATATGGCGTTTTGTTCAATTAGTGGTGTTGAATTGGGTCAGTTGGCACCAAACAGTACGACTGACTTTTCTATAGAGTTATTACCATTAACTCTTGGATTACAAGTACTTCTTATCAGTACATTAAAGGAATTAGATTTTCAAATTGTAAACAAATGCAAGAAAGCATTAAGGAGGTGCTAACATTAAGTATGTGGAAATGTGGTACATTTGTTTTGAAACGTGGATGTGTTTTGCAGTGGGTGACTGTTACTTCCATCCAATTTTTAAGCACATAGTAACATTATTGACATCCTTCTTTATCATATATGTTTCTTTGTTGTTTTCCAGTTTCTTTTTTTCAGTCAATTTCTGGTATTCGAGTTACGGACACATTCTTGAGAAGAACATATGAACATGACGATATTGCTCAAGTGTTCGTAGCGTAGTTCTGGAGGACTAGCTATTACATTACTTATAATTGAATAATGAATGGTTTATTACCATCTACTCTGAATGAGGAGAGGAAATACCAGAAGTTTTGTAAGATATATTTGAAGAGAGAGTGATATTTTTTTTCTAAGCAGACTTCGCATTGTTTCAAGAAGTGTATGAATGTGGTACTAATTTTTTGAGGATAGCCTTTTAAAAGAGATGATTCTACGTATTATAAATTATGTGGAATTTTTCGAAAATTACTGAAATCAAAGAATCCATTTGGCTTCCTCAAGGTTCCATAATTGCAGGCTAATAAATGTGTAGGCAGTAAGAGTCATAGCCTACAATGTTTAAAATAAAAAGAGAAAAATACTAAATGTATATACAATTTGAGGACTAATTCAGCGTCCAGTATTCTTTTCTAATTGTTTTTTAATTATTTACAAGAAAAAACGGGTGAAGAATTTCATCTGCTCAGCAAGTAAAATATATTTCACAAAACAGATATGAGAATAAATGAAGAACAAACACTAATATGAACAAAAAAGTAAATTTCTTCAAACTGACTCGGCTAATAATACATAAGATAGCATAAAAACAGATAGGGAAGCGATTAAGAAAGTTTGATAAAAGCTATAAAGGTCCTGCAATATCATGTAAACAAAACTTGGGAAAAATTCTTTTCGAAATGTGGGCGATGGTTGACCTGTGAACGGTATTTTTTTTTTGCATTAAACTCGAAAGCCACATTGAAGGAAAAGAACTAGAAAATGTTATTTGGATCCAAGGATTGCAAAAATGAGAAATCTATGAAATCAAACCTGATGCATGGACGAGATATGTAATCCTATGGTAATTAAGAGACGAACATGATTAATATCTCTGAAGTCCACTGTCATAAATTCATAGAAAATAAGGAAGGAAATGGTTCCGATTCCGTATTTAGCGAAACAAATGGCAGTCCTTTTCTTTAAAAAAGTTAATTTTTTCTCTTTAAAAAAGTGGGAAATTGCGAAGAAATTGACAACCGATCTTTTCATGTACAGAGCAAATTCCAGCGCTACTCAATTCGAATTTGGCCTAATAGAAACATCGGTATTATCGCGTCCGGTATCACTCACAGTGCTTCTGCTAGATGAAAACGCAATATCAGATGTACACGGGAAATGAGCCAATGCAGCTGAAAAATAAACCGTGAAGAAGCAAGTATAATTAATAATTCTCACTGATTTTCACTGATCTTAATACGAAATTTCCGCATGAAATGACATCACGGTGATGCCTTTAGATTCATTTTTCGCTGAAGATATTACTAATAATCACTTTGAATGGTAAAAATGCCACAAACCTTGTCCAGATAATGCATTGAAATCAACCATAACATTATCAATTAGTGTTTGTAAATACTCTGAAAAGAAATTAATAACCATCTTTAAATCAATTAAACTTGAAATGTTCGAAAATTAATGTAACAACGTTCTGAAGAAATAGAGCAAACTTTTCATGTTGAAATAGTCCCTCCACGTAGAGTCTGGTTGATTGAGTACATCTTCCAGTTCTTTAATAAATTGCCTTATATGTTTTATTCTATCATCGAATGGACCACCTTCCGGAACATACAACCAGTCTGAGCACAACTTTCCCATGTAGTTCTTTTCCGAAATCATAAGCAAATGGTCATACTGAGTCTTCAATTTATCCATTTTCGCTGGTCCGCTTAACGATGCCTCTTTTCGAAATGCCACCTGAAATCTATCCATTCTATTCCGAAAAGAATGTAAAATTTTGACTCCAAAAAACCTTTTTTAACAGCATAAAGTAAAAAAAAAACTGAATTTTTTTTCTCAGAAAATGAATTGTGAGCAGGAACTTCCCACTTTATATTTGACAGGAACATAGAGATAAATTAAATTTTTTTGACGAGAAGGAAAAACCAGTCTAGCTCTAATTTAATTTCATAGCACAAATACACAAACAAAGTGGAAAGTGAAGAAGGTGAAGAAATTAAGAATCAATTGCTTCACGCAAGAAGCAAATCATTTCATCATTCAATTCGAAACCACTACAAAGTTTATCCGAGATGAACAATTTAAAACAACTAATTCATTTAAGCATCAAATAGATCTATTAGATTGTTAAGTGAAAAGAAAAACAAAAAATTCTTTTACTCACTTGTCGCCAGGGACCACAATCTCCATTTCCACTCTGTTCTCCGAAAATACCTTCGGACGCAATGTTTTGTGAACTACATGGTCCAGTTGACAAACGATCTGTGGAATTATTCGAATAAACGTCCGAGACATTATTATGGTTTATCAACCGTTCGTTCGAACTACCATTATTATCTGGGTATGTCAATAAATTGATAGACGATATTTGTTTCGGTTGTGCAATTTCCAGTGATACCGATTGCTGTTGTTCAACTGTGCTTTTTGTTTCCTTAACAATTTTTATTTGATAGCAATCTTACAACAACCGCTAACCTAGGAACAGGAAAAAAAAGGACGTGAATTTTCAAGGATTTTGCTTACCTTGTTCTTGTTTTCTTCAGCAGTTGTTTGTCCGTTTATTTCAGCAATCTGGAGGAATAAAATTTAATACAAATATAACAAAAGGTGTAAATACAATTTGAAAGATAAAAAGTATTTCTTAGATTCATTAATGGGCTTAAAAACAAACCTTACGATTATTCCAAAGTTCATATATATGTCTGCTTACTTCTCTAACAGTACCATTTTTCCAGGTACCAATATATCGAAATACATCATGTACTACACCACCACGTTCATATCTCAATTCGTGCTCAGCTGTTACGTCAACTAAGTTGAGATCCAGAAGCCTGCAACTTGAAATTTTTATTCAAAACGACAGTACTTGAAGTATTTGATTTAAAATACTTCTTTATTTCAAGTTGCAATAGTTTAAAAAAGTTTTTAAAAAATTTTTAATTTTTTAAAAAATCTAAATATTTTAGATACATAAATTACTCAGCCATTCAACAATTAACTACTTTGTATTACTGTCTTCCATGCTAACTTGTTAGCCATGTCTTACAAAAGTGTAAGCTCAATTATTTTCAAGTATCTGATTATTGGATGGCCATGCCACAAAAGTAGGACAATATGTCTTTTAAAAATTATGCTTAACTCACATTTTGTCATCAGTGTTTGAGAACCAACAATTACAATCATTCGCATCGATACTATCATCTTCTGGAATTACTACAATGGTTTCCATGTTTGATAACTCCCTAAAATAGTTGATTATTTCTTTTATTTTAATTTTAGATATATGAATAATGCATTTCATACGACACTATCTATTAACATTACTTTTTGCATCCTTCCATTTTCATCAAAAGAAATACTGGTTAAATTTTACAGCAGCCACACAGATATTCATTTCCACGATGCTTGACTTCCCAACTCACATTGATGATGATGATCCATCAGCTTTTTCTTCACTATTCCCTTTGCGGCCACTGATATGCTGTGACGTTTCCTTCAATTTCTCTATCATTTTTGGATTGCATCCTTTGGTAGTTTTTGTTCGTTCGCGTGTCACCGTTTTTCTCTTTTTTTCCTCTTCTTTTTCTTCGTCGTCAAATATGAACCTGAAAGGGATTTATTAATATTAATGAAGGACTTTGAAAATGCATAATCATATTATTTAAAAAGTAGTAATAAGCAAGATATCACGCACAAGCAAAAAGATGACAATCTTTCACTGCTCTGGTCTGCATATAGTAATATAAATACATTTAGTGAAATTTTAAAACGATCTGGTTACCTTTGCGGTGCTTTGATGTGACGCTTTGGGCGATTTGTAGTTAACATCTCGATACTGCCATCAATTTTCACTGATTTCGCTTCTCCTCCCAACTCATCCTTACCAGATTCAGTTATTTTTTCTCCCAATTGTTTTTGCTTCTTTTTGGGTGGCATCTTGTCCAATTCTTTCTTAATGTCATTTTCCAAAGATTTTACGCCAACTAAACTTGAAATCTGAGAAGCAATTTCTGCTGATCTCACTGGAACGGTAGGATTCGAATTGTTTGCTGCAGCTGATGCAGCAAACTGTGCTCGAAATCTTCTAATTTCCGGAGACTCAAAAAGAGTTAGATCAACTCGACGACCTAAAAATATTCAGTATGATTATCATAAGGTCACACAACTGGAAAATCCGCAAAATCATGCTAAATCGTTAAAGTTGGATAAAACAATTACTTACGATGAGTTCCAAATTTATGAGAAAAATTTCTAAGAGAAAATTAGAATGATTTAAACAGCCAGTATAAATCGTAAATTTCAATATCCTTCTATAACATATACGGCATTACATTTAAAGCACATTTCAGAACGTTGCACATAATATTTTTAGACATACTTCTTTCAGGAACGTAGCAGTTTTGGTTAATGATGAAAACAGCTTAAAAAACGTAAAAAACATTATTACCTCGTTTCAACTCATTGCTTATGTAAGTGACCTCCTTAATCATTATTATCCAACCAAAATCAAGTTAATATCATATATCATAATATATCATATATAGCTGGAAAATTTTCCCATACACAACAATTTTAAGAAAAACATATATGTATTCTGATTTTTGTTACCAATAAGAATTAAATATAATTTCAAAGCCAGATTGTAATTATTATTTAAGGGTTATAATTTACTTTACGTTAGAAATGTCATCAGGAATATAGAATGAGATGAAGCAGCAAATTTAATATACCACGTCGAATTGGGAATAAACTGTTTTATATCGGCACCAAAAATTTTTTGAAACTATTGCTATTGAAGACTTTCGAAAATTGCATTTCTGTCAAATGGTATTAATTTTTTGCACACGATATTTTGATATTATCTTCGTCCGTTTCTCTTTGACAGATTTTGAATATATGCGCTAACAAATTAGAGCGATAACAGTAAAGTGCGCATATTTTCCTTTAAGATGCACTAATTTATATACTAGAAGATGTCAAGGAATAAAATATCCACAAAGGACAAGTTTTTTTATAATTGTAAAAACAGGGTGGTTTTGCCTTAATTTTATCAAAATAACAGAGAGAAATAGTTTGAGGTCTAAATTAAGCGTTTGAGAGATTAATTAGAGCAGGGATTAAATTTTTCAAGAAAAGCGATTTAATTGTATTAATTGTATCCCTACCGAAAAAATAGCCAATCCAGTCGAATAAAATTAAAAATATAAGATTCTGTGTTTAGTTAGTGATACAACAACTGAAACGACATTACATAAACAGTTTAACATGCAATAGTTACTCATTTTGTTAAGAAGTTATAAGTTTACGCTTTCGACAGGGAGAAAAAGATTAAGACTGATGCTACAATATGACGAGCCAGATTCAATACATATAAGCTCATTCAAGCAAAAATTTAATTCATAAAGTCTATTTCACCACTACAAATAACTACTTTGTCCTTATTTTTAATTGCTTCCCGAGTATGAAGACGATAAAAATATTTATTCTCCTCACAAACAAAGAGCAATTGAAGCGGGAATATATACTGCACTTCTTAACTACTCTACGGTATTTGAGAATCAAATGAATGTACACATAAAGCTTACGAAAAATAAATAAATGTGTATGATCACAAAAAAGCCACATACCTGTTTTTGCTTCGTGCCTCTGAATTATCAGTGCTTGTAGAAGCGCTACAGCCTCGTGAATTTTACCTGAAAATTGTTGCAGATCTGAATTTTAATAGAAATTCATATGATCTGGGAGTTAATTCGAAACAAAGTGGAGCGTAACTTGTCGGATAAGTTTCATTTTATAAAGATACCGAATGTCCTAACTATTATATAATTATGTTATAGAGCACAGTCGATATAATGAAACGCAAAACATCACTTATGACCTTGATTGGTAATATTACCGGTTTACCAATTTTGAATCTAAAAAATACTGATAAAAAAATTCAATAAAATCTTTGATGATTGAAAACCGTACGGAATTTCACGTTACGTCGTAGGTCTGCAAGAGTTTTTGGTAGCGGAACTTCAAGTACTGCTCGATAACTCCTACAGGAATTCAGAACAGCTTCAATAGCATCCAATATTGGCTTGTCATCTTTGACTGGAAGGAGAGATTTAAAAAATACTGAGAAATTTTTTTTTCTTTGCAACAAATTTTAGATATTTTTTACTTTCCTTATAAAGAAATTTTTGCATATATCAGAAAGAAAAAAAATCTTTACATTTTGGTGTTTCCGTTTTAGCAAATGCTGCCCACAATGCCTCCACTGCTACAACTTCTTGCAATTCCAATCGATTTTTTTCATCTTCTGCAAAGATTATTAAACCCATTTCTGTTAATTGGACAGTCCTTGAAAATATCCGATGACACAATAGAAAGGATAAAAAACAATCACCACCCAAAGAAAAGTAAACAAACGCAGAATAATCTGATAAAATCAACCTGTCAAGTTAGATGGTTTAATCGCCACTGGTCGAGGGATCTCAGCTTTACTTGTTAAACCAGATCTACCAGCCATGGTCGTTCTACTGTCTTTTGTTGAAGCAAGCTGCATCGTATTCGTGACCTTTGTCGGGTCACACATCATTTGCCGTGCTCTGGAATTCAGTATCGCAGCTGTAGCAGATTTCACATCATCATCCAGATAGTCCCTCACTTTCAACAATGTTGAAGTGTTTGAAGATGAAAACTTCTCCGGTGATTTCGATGGTTCTCGAGAACTCGTTTCCCTATCCAGCTTCTTTTTGAAAACTTTTGGTGACTTCGATTCGAAAATAACCCAGCTGTTGGTAAGCGATTCCAAACCATTATCACATATTTCCTCTTTCAGCAGCACATCTCGCCGTAAAAGAAGTTCTATAATGAATGGAAAATTATGCTTTTGCTTCGTGTTTGTATTTTTTCCAAAATGAAGATATAGCTGACATTGGAATAATTTGTTGTGTTTTATTTGACATGATACTTGACCATATGAACTACAAAAATCATCATTAAATCCAAGAATGTCCGATAGTAATAAGATTCTTAGATAAGTGCCACTAAACGATACTGGCGATCAGATCATTTCATTTGACATATTCTGTTTACTAGTTGATATTAATCAGCTTAACTGGAACAGTGTTTAATTAAAAATCGGTGCATAACTTTTCAATAAGAGATTTATTGCACTTTTAAGCATAAAGACTCTTATAAAGTGGAAAAACAAATTCACATAGAAATTAAAGATAGAATTTCTTTTTTCAAGAATAAAATAAATTATCTCACGAATTATTTGTTCGTCGAAATCCTCTGAATCTCTGATCTTTTCGTACGTGGCTATCAGATCTTGGACGTATTCTTCCAAACGATTTCGCATAACACTGTGCTGAGATAGCGAACGCACTATTCCTGACGGCGTTTGCAGCTGTTTTAGCAAGCTTGTCCAACGACGTACCAAAAACTGGAGCGAAAAGAGATGCCTAAAGCATATTTTCAAAACTCGAAGAAATGTGTTAGTGATTTGAAATAAAAAACTCAAGAATATTTGTGCAACAAATATATTTACAACAGAGTAGAATACAGAAATAAACATACGCTCTTTTCTTGATAATTTGATCACGCTCTTTCCAAAAATTTGATGGGGCATCAATTTGTTCCTCCTTTGTCTCTATTTTGTTCGATAAATTCGGTATTCCAACAACGTTGCTGCTAGTTCCAGCTTGTTCTGCTGTTTTGCTTTGAAACATGGATGAAAGCTTCCTTGTATTATCTTTAAGCGAACAACTACGATGATAGTTATATCTCCCCAAAGCTTTTTGCGTATTGCCATTCGTACGTCGAGATAATGATGGTACAGTGGTCTTTACTAGCACTTCTCTTTTATAATACTCCTTACGAATCAGTACTTGTTCACATCTTCGAGCTTCTTCTGAATCAGATACACTAATAAATTAGTGCTCTTTCCAATTCTTCATTCAATTTTCTATAATTCCTAAAGATAAAAATGGCATCTAAGTAAGCACAGCATACCCTTTCGAGCTCTCCATAACATTTCTGGTACCAAAGGCCTGCTCTCATCCCCTTCCCAGCAGTGGTCAAGCAACCATCTGAGTTGTCCTACAAGTTGTTTCGCTTTGGTGATTTCTTTATGGTCAGTAAGTTGTTTTCTGGAAAACATAATTGATCTGAGAAAGATCTGAACGATACCGAGAACCAATTAATGACAAATGAAAATTTAAAGTTAACAAGAACATTTCAGGGCTGTTTTACTTACAAGATGCTTAATTAGGACTTACTTTTGAATGATATCGCACCAATATTTATATTTATCAAGAAAAAAATCAAATTCCTTTCTCCACTTGGACAAGTTGCGGTACTGGGAACTGTAACGGGCTTGAGCGTAAACCTAGAAACAACTGCACTATGCCAGGTTTCACGACTGCCAAACATAAATAATAATAACGCAATTCTACCGCTATTGCATCTCTTCCCATCTAGGTAAGGAAGTATGGCACTGATATGTTCTGAAATTCTTCTGAATTCAGTAGTTTCCAAAGTTTTTTGAAATAGTATGATTCTTGGTATTGTTTTACCTCCCATCGATTTCCTTGTAGCCATGCGAAAAGAAAGAATAATAGATTTATTCGGAACTTACCACATAGTTATACGTTTTCGGGAATATATGTTTGATTTCGTTTGGCTCACTCCAATTCACAACTGGTACATCTTCCGGCGGATGTGGTGGACACAGACCATTCCCACCTCTTCGCCTTGCATTTCGCTGGAAAAAAAAAAGTTCGGCTCAGATATAATAACTACTTTACTGTGATTTTTGAAGAGTTTGTAATACCTTCCGGAATTGTTTAGTTATTTGTGCAGTTGCTCTCAATTCCTCATTCGCTACTTTGACCTCTTCTAACATTTCCGGTGTCTTACATCCAACGATATTCCCGTGATAATCACTGCTAGGAGATCGGTTTACCGTTTCATCTAAAAATTCCTGGATGAATTTGATGGAATAAAGGAGAAAAATGTATGATAATTCCTGAAACGACAACAGAAATAAACTCTTTCTGGGAAAGAGGCATTTGCTCTTACTTGGTTTCGAAAGATATTTTATTTAATTAGTGGGAATAACTAGAAATTACTTAATGGCACAGTGAAAACTGCTGATCTAAAAGGTTATGAAAATTACGGCAAAGACTATCTAGAAAAACATCTTACTTTTGCACTGCTTAAAATTTAAAATTATTGGACGCTATAGCATAAGACTTCATTGATTTAGTATTTATCGGGACTATTTATTAGCAAATAATAAATATCTTTAGGAATAAAACTCGTCTTGAAAACATTTTGCCTCTGCTGGGCACTTGCTATGTGAAAAAATGAGGGAAATCTTATAAAAAGTATGCCAATAATGAAGTAATTTTTATTCAAACACGAATATGACAAGAGCTATCATGCTAAAATAATTGTCTTTTAAACTACACAGCTGAAATATCGCTACCACCGCAGCAGCAAACTTAAAAATCGTACGGCTTCTTAAAATGAAAGTTCGTCTGATTTCAAAATAAGGTAATCAGCTAGAAAATGATTTAAAACCCTAAACAACTACATACATGAATTGAACACAAAAACACTGGTTTCCTCCCCTTATTATTTTATTGAAATGTTTCCTGAGACACACACTTCAGGTTTCGAACAGAGAACTGCTCAAAACATAACTGTACTAGGCGAGAAAAGAAAAATATGCGGAATTCATGTACTCATTTCATTCTTTCAAAGCAAGTTTGAACTAAGTGATGAATATATCTGTCATATTGCTAACATAAATTCTGCCTTACACGGGAAAAAAAGTAAAGAAAATTCACTGACATGAATTCCTACCAAAATTCCATAAATTCAAGCGGAAAAACTGAAAATTAGTTTCATCTAAATTGACTGTCATTACCATAACAATTTTCTGACTGCTCTTCGGGTTCATTTTCTTCAACGGTTAAAGTTGGTATAACAGATTCACCAAATTCTTCAATGGTTAAAGGTGGTGTAGTAGATTCGTCGGATTCCTTAAACGGTACAAACTGTCGGCTAAGGTCAGTGTACACAGGCGGTTCATCTGGCAAAGCTTCCTTTGCCGCCGTAGAACTCATCGGAAATGTCTTTAAAAAAGAATTTAAGTGATAGAACAGTATACCAAAAACGAAAAGCGCGTAGTTACAAATAATCTAACAAGGTTTGAAAAAAAAACACTAACTGTTCAAAACGCAAACTGTTATGAAATAATTGATCACCTTCTTAATCAATAACAATTTCATTTTCGAATATTAAGATATGTGACAAAAATTGATGGATGGGAATTGGAAGCGCGAATACTAAAGATAGCTTTATAACATTGTGCTAATCTAAAATAACATCTACAACACTGCAAGATGTGGATGAGAACAAATCTATTCAGAAAACTAACGAACTATTTGGTTCTGCCACAACATGCCATCGCCCAGCAAATAATGGTTTACAATTATCCTGCAGTGCTCTTGAAACAGTAAGCTGATGGTGATTTTTAACAACATGATAATCAAATTTTACCTTCGTCCCTTTATTCCGTGCGATCAGTGCTGCCTGTTTTCAGGATGGGATGAAATTGAAACTAAAATGTACAGGAAGGAAAAGTTTTTAAATATGGAAAAGAAACTTCGTTTTTCCGTATTCCCATTCACTTCAATAATTTCCGTATTTACTACATAAATGGGTTAGTTGGCAAAAACACAGTTCGATGGAGAACTATAACACGAATCCCATCCACTATATCCGAATTATGTAAGCCTCCAAAAGTGCTATCACTATATTCTACTCACAATCATACATCGACTAAGTGACATCTAGTGGGCAAAACTCATTCTTAATATAGGAAATTCAAAAGGAGTCAAAGTTAATTAGGTTCACATAAAAGCAAGCTCACGGGTTATAGTCAATTCCCACACTTCCATTTCTAAATGCATTTCACAACGATTTCCGTTCATATTTCGCCACCTGTAATCTTTTCCAGCGTTAAAACGCTGTTTATCATGTATAGCAAAAATAAGGATATTGTAGAAATCCATAATGCAATGAAAATCTTGAACATAATGTTACAGAAGTAAACACAAAATTTGGAGATCAGTTCTGAGCACTTAATTGACAATAAGTTTATGCAAGTGAATTGAAATGTATAAAGTCCGATAATATTAATATTGATGACAAAATCAAGTTGAATTTCCGATGCAGTGCCAACGGTCAAGAAAACAAAGTTGAATTACTTTTAGTCAATGGAGACGATTGGTGCACGTTATCAGTAGTTTTGAGGACGACAGATACGTCTGAAGTAGTGATTATCCAAATGTAAAAGTGGGGAATGTGATAGGAAGAAAGAGGTATCTAATAAAACTATCGAATCAGTAGTTCAGACATGTCAGGATATGATTCCTTCCCATCATCTATCATGGGTCGTCATTTTGAGCCGGGATCCCACCAATAGTTCTGATTTCTCCTAACAAAACACAATATGCATAAGAGACGCTCTGCTAGACCACCCTATAATGTTTAACTAAAAGAGACACGTCTTACCTACCAAAACAGTACTTAATTAGTATCACCACACAGCCTATGTCATAACAATCTACCACTGATGGCCTTCTTCCCACTCGCTCGTAGACCTTTCGGGAATATATTTTGGTCTTGAAGAAGGAACTGTTGCATGAGGTCAATTGCGCATTTCTATCCTAATTTTAGAAGGATTCTAACAACTAGAAAGTATTTAGACTTTAATCAGTCCATATAGGCACTTCTTGTCAACCCAACTAGCCTTATTTGTCTGGCAATTTCTCAGCAAATATATGCTCATGCAATACCACTCAACTTTAATTAACTCAGTACTCGGTCAATAACCTGATTAAATGTAAACGGGGAAATACACAACTAGCAAGGGAAATAGCAGAATGTATCTAAACTTCCCGTCAAATTTACTACCATTATCATAAACCATCGATTTAGTGCTACAGAAATTGCATCCTCTAACAGCTAGAAAACCATTAGCGAGCGAGTCTACATATAGGTCAAGGGTTATGTTGTAGTTCTTTGTAAAGTAATTTTGTTGAGGGATTATATAACTGAAACTATGGGAAGCAAACTGAATTCCAACATTGTAAGACGGAATTAAAAACAAAGTGTAAAGAAAATGATAAGAAGGAATTAGTAATTGCATGAAAGTTGAACAGATCCATTCAAATACAAAACGTCCACCGTCAACGTTGTCTTCCTCCTGTAGACTTACAGTGAAAGGGATGTATCGGCAGAACTTAGGATCAAAATCCAAGGCACTTCCAGAGTCCTTTGCACAATCACAAACTTTGTTGCCTTGTCGAGAAATAAACATGATGTTATCACCAATGAATTACTCCGCGAACTCTTTTATGGGTGTGAAAGTTTGATCGTAAAGCAACAGATTTAAGTCATCTTTTTTATTATCTTAGAACATATAAATTCACTACAGCATTAGAGTGATATAACATGATTTAAAAAATTATTGCTATGTCAAAAACATAATAGCAGTGAGCACAGTATAAAACTGACAGATGTTAATAAGCAAGTGGGATTCGGGTTGAAATAAGTAAAATTTTGCATCAAACACTAGCTTACAAAAGACTAGAACGCAGGAAACAGGCTCGTATGAGTTTAAAAATAATCTGACAGTTGTGAATGGATATGTTTGGTCCATCCATTTTCCGGTCACCATAATCGAAGATACGTAAAACAATGGTACATTTTTTCTGAAATGCATTGAAAAACGCTTAACAGTTGGGAAGTCAGTAAAGACTATGAAAACTTTTGTAATGATTTAAAGGAAAAAAACAACGCACATCATTGTTTATCTCATATCAGCTACCATGTTGGATGGATTCTCCAGATACCGCTTTACTTGGCTACTAAAACGAGCTACCGTGGCACCATCGATAACACGATGATCTGCAGCCCACGAAAACTTCACCACATTGGCTTCGCAGATCTATCAATATACGAAATTGTCAACTTTTGACCCAGCAACCTTGCTTTTCTCGGAAATATATTGCGAGATCAATCACTGAGTCAGTGGGAAATATTTTGCAAGATTAATCACAGCAGTCAACATGATTTATTTCAAATACACAGTTTCAGATGAGTAGAGTCTGCAATATACATACCGGAAAAGACGCTTACTGAAGTAGCTAGGAATAACGAATGCAATAAAAAACAGTGTTTCTGAACAACTCACATTCCCCTCTTTATTAAATCGAGGAAGTTTAGAAATCTGTCCAATTGCTCCAATCGCAAGCTGAGGTGCCATAATCACCGGCATAAGATAAGTACCACCAAGCTGCAAATTTAACAAAAATTTTTTCATAGTATTTTTCACCTGTAATACCTCAAAACTAAGAAAATCCCTCCGGTCCAATATTACGTAAATGATGACAATGTTGCCAAATGTCACCGTTCTGACCAAACAACTTAAGTAGGACGAAGTAATTTAAGATTAATTTAATTGCAGCATTCTAATAAACATCTGATGCACAGTCAAGATCACTGACCTAAATTCAATTTTAACAAAATATATAGTTCAATCACTTTCATCATTCATTGGTAGCTATACACAGCATTGGATCTTTGTGTGTGCTGTCATGTCATACTCAACAGTACACACAAGGAGTCGGTGCTAAATTTGAAATTAACAAAGATGCTAAAAACATTTAAATAGACTGCTGAGACTACAAAAAACAATCGCTATCAAAAGAAATCTGTCTTCAAATCTCTGAATCTAAATAATTTACTATCAGGAATATATTTCGAACGATGTGTATGTCGGTGTACCAAATGAATGCTTTAATGGAATTTCATACAATTTTTGTGTCACAAAAGCATGCTCACCATTCCTATGTTGGACAGTGTAAACGTTCCATCCTTTAGATCATCTGGATCTATTTTCATTTTACCGCTAGCTTCCTGAAGACGATTCAACTCAGCAGCAACCTCCCATAATGTGCGCTGTTCACAGTGTTTGATGTTCGGTACTACAAGACCTTCCGGAGTATCCATAGCTACTGATATGTTATGCGATGCCTAAAAAAACTAATCAATTGGAACATCTAAACGCAGCTAAAATACCTGATATCCGGAACTGAAACACATTAGTGCATCAGGTAAAATTTCTTCTGGACTTTTCATAATTTCTTCCGTAAAGCTGAAAAATCTCGATCAATATTACAAAAATCTATATTTAAATTAGCTGAAAACTTTGCTGTTCTGTTATTGCATCAAACTTGTAGCACACATTGTACGCAAAGAGAACCTTTTTTTTTGTTCCGCTTGTGATGAAAGTATTCAGATTAACGAAATAACATTAAACAGAAAATTCGTAACTTGCAACCAGCTGTTAAAAAACTACGCTAATTACCCGGCTTAGAAATGAAATCAAATAGATTTTTGATAATAAAACCAACTTACTTTACAAATGACATTCTCCATATTTTCGTCTACTATAGCGTTCAACCTTGGAAATTTCTTTAAAGCAAGTGAGACAGCTTTGATAATAACTGGCATGAAACTCATACGAGCATTGTATGCTATTTCAAAATTTCTCAGTTCCTTCCGCATTGTTATTAATCGATCAAAATTCACCTGAAAATAAACTTTAACCGAAAAACTCCACTATATACCGCCTTTTCTTTGTCACGTAACAGAAATTCTTCCTTGAACAGTCATTTTTCCTAATTTCTGGCCAATGTTCTTCTCTCTGATTCATGATATTCTAGGGTATGAAAAACTACAAGATTAACAAAACGAAGGAACTGCTAAAACTTTATTTGAAATTTTAAAAATTTATTTGAAATTACTAAAAATTTTCCGCTACAAATTTATTTAAAGAAATATACAAAATCCTTTAACCTAATTTTGTTCTTATCTCAATAATGGAAAAAGATCAAAAAAGTATTTCGGACTGCATATAAAAATTTATTAACTTTATGAAATAATATTAAGGACAAAAATGTACTGTAACGACACCAACTAAACATTACTTCATCGCAAAAGCCAAGGTGTGGTATTTTTAAAGATTCAGTCATCGACTTGACCATAGCACGAGTGTAACCGCGTATAGGGATCACTTTATCTTTATTTAGCATTTCAAACTGAAAATGCGACAAATTTCATAAGTGAAAGTTCTCATTGACTTATTATTTTACGACTGCAGCAAGCAATCAGATATAATCTTTCTCTCAGGAAGTTTGAAATAAGCTAATTAAGTCTATTTCACATTTTCAAAATTAAATAACTCATTTTTACAGATGATTTAATAGCAATAGTGAATTAATGATAATGATGAATTAATAGTAATATATACAAACCCCTTCCAGCGGCAAAGAATGCGACAGTGGTGACATTGCATGGAAAGTCATATCTGCAACTGTTGCCGTTGACGAGTCTGGAAAATACCGAAAATTTTCAAAAGACAGGGAGACTATGAATACGCATGTTACCAAGAGTAACTTAGTTTAGTATTCCCTAGCAGCTATTCAGTATATTTCATTTTAAGCAATACGCAGAAATATCATTAATTTCTCACAACTGATAATGACAGTATGCTCCCAAGTATAGTGAATAGTGATGTTCTGAGAAGTGGTTATACTAATAATAGCATGCATAAAAAAAAGAAATGCAAAGTTTGAAGTTCATTACCAGTTTGACGTTCGACATAACAAATAATATCATCCTTCAGAATATGTCCACTAATACCTGTCCCAGTGATTTCATTCAGATTCACCTTAAACAATCATTTAGTGAGAAATATGACAAATTCGTTCTATTTATTACAAGCAAGTGCATTTTTTCTAACAATCGACTGTAATAAAATATAAATTTAGAACGTGCTGCTCCAGAAGGGACCAAAAAAATTTGATTTGGAGTAAAAGAGCAATGAAAATCCACTGAATCCTGTTTAAACATGCAATAAAGTTTAGTGAGATATTACTAATTAGTTATCACCTAAAATTGTTCTATTTTTTCTCCTTCTCTTCATGTTCCCTTTTACGGAAATTTTTAAGACAATGGAAAATGTCTAGGAATTCAAATGTAATAATAAGAAATAACTGCCAAATAAAGAAAAAAAAAATACCCCTTTTTCTTTAGCAAGTTGTCGAACTGCCGGACTCGCAAGGATTTTCCTAGCTTCCTGAGCATTATCTGAAGTGGTCGTTTCTCTCTCTAGTTTCCCATCACGATTTCCTCCTGGAATCAGTTAATAAAAAGAAATTAAGTAATTAAAATGGCATCTTTTAACAAATATTGAAGAGCAACTATATTTTTCATTACTCGCTGATCAAAATATGCTCATGGTAAAGGGAACTGCTGATTCTCCAGTTTGCAATGACCCTTATGCATAAAAAAAATTATTGTCATGTACAAGGCTCCTGGATCACTATTAGCTCAATCGACAGAACTAATGTGTTGCGCAGTTCCGAAAATATACGACCTTTTTGTAACTTAAGTATTTGAACCATTAACCTGACATTAAAATCAACTTCATTTTAGATTGGCACAGAAAAATACAAAACATATCCTTTCTAATTACAGAATTAACTGAGTTATGGAATTGCTTGAAAAAGAAGAAATAAACATCAGTACCGACATCCGCAACTTCGATATCCACAAGGGTTGTTCCTATTTTCGCTACATCCTCAACATCGTAGTACCTAGAACAAATTATTTTAGACTCCAAATTTTTTGATATGAAAGAAGTCAATCATTTAGTTTTTCAATTCCGAAGGACAACACTTTCATGAAGATTGTTATAGAAGTAATTTTCATCCATAATTAGGAAAATTGCGATATGATAAAATTCACAGTTTTTTTATGACACCATCATAACGGCTGGTGATTGTCACTGATGCCTTGTCACTTTGTACTTCGCAAATGTTATCAAACTGTGCCACATGATCACCTTCTTTCACATGCCATTCTTTAATCTAAAAACTACTCTTTAATCATTCCTTGGAATCAGCGTAGCTTTTAGAGGTTTCTAAGTGAAGGAGCCTTTAAGAATCGAATCATTTAAAAAACAGTTAGTTCAATTTGTTTGAAATATTGTAAACTGTAATTCGCATATTGATTAATAAATTGATGGCTTACTTGCACTTCGGCGATGCCTTCACCAATGTCTGACAACTTGAACTGCACAAGTGGGAGGAATCTAGCTGGAATAAAAAAGACATGAAATTCACTCACTGCAAAATAGAACTATCTTCAGGTAATGAATGAATAGGTGCAAGAAGCGCCTCATAGCACCCATTTTCAATGAATTCCATTCGAATTCCCACTTTTCAACAATCAATAATAGTTGACAAATAATGAAGAGAGTAAAATAATTGATTCAACATTGTTAGAAAGTAGATGAGATTCGGCAACTCTCAGGTCATATTTTGACACAGAAGTCCTGGACCAAAACGTTCTCCAGCCTAGGGACTATCCCAGTTGCACACGAAATATTTTATGTGCCGTGAAAGCAGTGTATAAGTGTCTTCTACTCAACTTTTTCCTATTCTTCTGTCATCCTTTTTGTCTTTTCTTCCTCCTTCTTTTCCACTCTTCTTCTTCAGTCGCGGAACTCTCGAACTGGTTGATAAAATAGGTGCAGCAAGTAAAGCGGTGAAGTAGTAGTAATGGGACACAGGAGTGAGGGACAACCTGCTCTAAAAGTTGGGAACAGTTCATTTGTCTACCTGTCTTATCATCAGTTATCATCATCTACTTCGAGTTTACTGTTACTGTTATCTTGGCAGATGACTATGTGGCAAGAGAAGGAAGAGTTTTGGGATTACAGTCTGACAGCTATTAAAATCCCCCAGTAATTTCAAGTCTGGGAATTTCTGTCTGTTTCCCTATTACATCTATCTCATCTTCAGTTCTTGCTGAATAATAAGCTCATTCGATGATTGCATTCGCAGGAATGCTTATTCATTTGTGGCGCATTCTTCATTTAAGAAAGTGTTGCTAGTCTTTGAAATTTTTTAATCCAAAAATTCAGAATTACTCTCTACGACATTATCATTTAATTCTAATACCAAGTGAGGAAAAGATGAAAGAAAAAGATAGTATACCCATTGAATTGAACAACATCCTACGACTTAACAAATATAGTCCTTGTCGACCTATCAATGATACCATCCTGAAAAGATATCTTTCTGCATTCATAAAACATCTTCACAGCTGTCTAATAAATAATGTAAATATATAATGAGAAGAGACATTTCTTGTGTGTCTAGCTACTCATTGCTTGAAATGTCACATATACAAGTCAGAATTGTGACACAAACAAAGTCAACCAAGTCAATTCAATATTCACATTTCATTAGCACCAATTTTTTATTGCAAAATGTGAAGCTACGTATTAAAAGTAAAATAAACAACGTAAAATATTGATTTACAACACTTGGTTAGACTTTTACAGTGACGTTAGTTAATTCTATTATGTAATTAATCTCAGGGATTGAAATCTCGGTGACAAGATGATCAGAATTGAAACTACTTCTTAACATTGCCATGCAGAGATTTCCTAATTTGACAGTAAGTGTCAACAACTTTCCAAAGATGGTGACTTGCTTTTTATTTCTCATCTGAATTATGCAACTATGCAAGGTTGAAAAGATGATTCCACATTACAATTATTCTTAGCGTAAGTTCTCTGAGATTGATCAAATAAATATCATATTATAACTGATCTACCTTCAACATTTCTTTTCTTTTTAAAATTCAATAACAAATTTGGATTATAACCAAAATGTAAAAGTCCGTTAGATGACAATTCAAAGGTTAATTTCTTCCTTTATTATTCGTAATGGTGAAATGCAAACATTATTGAGAATCGAATGAAAATGAAAAATCAACAATAGAAATAAAGTGGAAGCGTTGTGAGAGCAAATGGTACAGATAGCACTTTGAGCAAATTCCTGCTTGTAGTGAACAAATATTTTTGGGGCTGGTTTGGCGCTGGTAGCGACTTTCCTTACCATTGCGATACTGTCACGAGATCGGCATTGTTGTGACACTGAAGCTGACAAATACTGTGGTACTCTTTCTTGTAGCCTTTCAAGATAGACTTACTCTACTGTACCACTCACTAATGTCAGTCGTCACTGCTACGGAGTGTACTGAATTGAAAAACTTATAAAAGTAACTGAAATAACTGAAATGGAAGGACAGACGTTCCAAACATCTATATGACAACAAAGATTGAATTTCTGGTTGATACCTCTGCAAGAAATGGGCAGAATTTTTAAAAATTTTTTTAAATTGAATGTAAATGTATCGGATTGTTAATCTAATAAAATAGAGCGTTATTATTTAAGTGTTTTTAGATGCCTTCTACTTATCGAATCACACTAAGACAATTTTAGTCGTTGATAATGTAGAAATTTACAATCTAGGTAGAGGTAATATAGAAGATTGCTTGCAACAGTATTATACAATAAACCGATTAAGCAATATGAATATGAGGAACAAAATTTAACTTTGGATTCTAATATGTAATCCAAATAATCAACTGAAGCTGTCATCACAAACTGGTACTGTCATATGATTTTTTTTTTTTTTTTTTTGAAATTTTACTATTTCAGTTGTCTGTAGCGACCCATTTACAAGGCTGGTCAAATACATGTAAAGCCTGTGAATGTTTTGTCCATGCTTTGAGGTTCATGACTACTTTCTACAGCAATACCTATATCTAACCAAAGTATTAGTTGTCAAAAGTATAAATTTATTTGAGATTTATATCAGAAAACAGAATCAAGTTGACAACCTCAATTTTACTTATCGGTAATTTGCATATCTTGAAGGATTTTGCATGTATTATCTTTCTCAATAATATATAATAATAAAAATCAGTCAAGCAATTTCATAAACCTTTGCTACCAACATTGCAACAATTTCACGCTAAAGCAGGACTCCACTGAAGCTGTTATCATAAACAGTACTGTCATAGATGCGCACTAGAGAGAAAAAGAAGTGGAATGAAAATTCAGAAGAGAGTAAAGAAGCACCAGAGAACCATAAACTGCAACAGCAACCTGTCCTTCATCCCACACCACTAGAGCCATTTCAGGTTAAAATGGATTGTTCAATTTCATTACAGCTTAGAAGTTCAAATGATTCTTCGGTTTTTTCTTTTACCACTTTTTAGACCACAAGGTGATTTTTAATTAATAGCTTCTTAGTGCTTAGTAGTAGAAAAATCGTATTTATATTAAAAAAAAACTAGGGAAGCAATCCGAGAATTCCCGGAATAATGGATTGTGCATTTCTTTGGCCAAATTTGCATTATGTATCTAAGGAAATGTACCATTTGTTATCCTGTCACTGCAATCCTTTAAATTTTTGTCGAAGCATTTTCTGCCTGTTAATTTTGATTCAACTAATTAACTCAACTTATATTTTGATCCAACCAGACCGTATTTTAGGACACTGTGTTACTTAAGAAGCCACTTGGACTAAGAATCTGCAAAAATACTTTACAGGTAAAATTCATCCCAATTTTAGAGAGTCTTGTTTAGTTAGAATATTAAATGTTCAGTTTCTTATGCCACAAAATTGTTAAGAACAATGACTGATTAAGGGTAGAATATAGCCATACTTTAAATAAATGCATCAAAACAGAACTTTCATTTAAGGTAACATATATTGAAAAATCAGGGGCATCAGTGGGTCGGGTATTTGTTGGTGATGTTATTGTAGCTGTCGATGGGCAGAAAATCAGCACTGTCAATGAGCTCAACGGCGTTCTTAAAAAACCTTCACCGGTGAAATAATTCCTTCTTGGAAATTTTATAAAAATGTCATTGAGTTCAATTGCTGAATAATTAATGAAGATTCCTTGCGCGAATAATTATTTAAACAATCCTATAATTTATGTAGTCTTAGTAGAGATACATTATTTTGTAGAGTCTACTAAATAAACTCAAAATTGTACCAATTTTCAACTAAAGAATTGAAAAGGACTATGTACTTACTTTTAAAGGTTTTAGTCTAAAATTAAATTGATTTGGGACTTCTAACTTGCATATTACATGCAGATGGCAGCTGTAATATTCAAGCGCATGTGCTATTCAAAATGCAAGCATAAAAAGACATTTGTGGAAAAAATAAGCGTAGAAAGAGGTCGAGAAATGAAATGCACCGGACGAGCAATCGATCAGTATCTGGCAAGAAAACTAATTTTTCTTAATCAGAAAGAAATCTTAAATAAATTAAATTAATTCTCGAGGGTCCTTTAAAATAAAGTCAGCAGGAAATTTTCCTCCTCTGATAAAACTGATTAGGAAATTTTTTAAAAAGGAATCATGTTGCGACGAAAAAAGTAGAATATACGCAATATATTTTAGATCTCTGTTTTAGCAAACATTGTGTAATTAAGAAATGAAAACTCAAAGAAGACTTGCAATGCATTTTAGTCTGATTATCTTTTGTAAAACACCCTAAATTGATCGATAATTATTTTGGGGATTATCTTGAATCAACCGATCTATCTATCCAAAGTATAAAATTAATTTTGCATTTCATTTCTTGAAATCTGCTTCACCACGGCAAACTTTATTTTTTTGAATTTGTCTAGTGATGAAAATAGAACTTTAAATTTATAGGTCCAAATGGTTCTACGTATTAATGATATAGTTGACATAAGCGAAGTGCTCGGATTATCTGTGAAATATGATGCAAAAGAAAGAATTCAAGTGAATGCTACAGCTAATGACAGTCTTTCATCCTTACATCTACGTCCAGGAGATATAATACGGTGTTTGTTGGCACTTACAATTGATTCTTATTCACAAAAAAAAAATAAAAAACTAATCAATAAATTTATGAAATAACTGGAAAAGACTGTTAATGCATTATATTAGAGAATCCAAAGTTTTGCAAATGAAGTGTGTTGTTTTAGCGAAGTGAATGAATATCCCATTGCAAGTAAAACTATGCTTGATTATTTCATACAAGCAGCAGTCATTGAAAATGGTCAGGTATTCCTTATCTTAACTGTTTTACCATTCAGAAATTGAAAATCATATCAACAACATGATTTTTCATCTACTAAGGTAAATTTTACAATCGAAAGTTTGGCCGGAGGTATTGATAGTTATCGTGATCAAGTCGAATTTGCAAGTGATGTGCTAGAAATTGCTCAAAAACAAGTGAATTTTTTGGGTTTTTTTGTTAGTTGAAAATGCAGTTATTCGGCTTTTCTCATTTTGTTACAATATGGGAAACCTTAAAAAATTACTTCTGAAAATTTGATGAAGTCAATGATTTCTATGATTTTTGCAGATCATCCAATTCCGAATGGCTGTGGCTTCAAAAACATTAAATCGTCCATCGATATTACAGAAACAACATGCAAGTAAAAATAGCAGGAAGATTGTTATTTCCCAGAATTTTGTTGAATTACCAATTGGAGCTGATTTTGATCCATCGAAATTAAAAGCATGTAAAGGTGCTAATGTCGAAATGCGAAGTATACAAAAACGTGGTTTTTAATGACGTCTCATAAAAATAACGAAAGTTCTAAAATTTACTGGTCTTTTGCTTTTTTTATCAGAAACAATGCATAAAGTGAAAGTGGTAATTGTCATCCAATAAGGTATTCATTAGTATGTGCTCTAATATTATGGAATCACTTGCGGTGTATGTTAAATTCATGTCATGCAAATTTTACTCTTTTTGAAAAGTATAAAATGGGAAAGTAAATATTTGATGTCATTTGATAAATAAGTATATAGCGCTGATTCAGTTCAAAGTTATATGTAAAATATTACGAATTTTGGAAAATCGGGAGCTTGAAAATTATTTGGGAATGAAATAATGGAACGAACTGTCAAAGCACTCCGAGTTCAAGGACCAGGCCAAGGTAGAGAAGTGGAAATTACATTCGGCGAGGAGCATCTCCATGCGAGCGGCGTTTTCGCTAATGTTTATTCAGCTAGATTATACAGGCCGGTAGAAATGATCGTTGCAATTAAGAAGACCTGGGCAGGTAAAGGATGGTCTGTAATTAATCCAGAAGTGTATTATCTATCTCGAATGAAGCATCGATGCATCGTCACACTTCTTTATCATTTCACTCTAACATCAAATAATGAGACATGTCACTGCATGGTTTTTGACTACTTACCCACAGATATGGGCAAATTGCGAATGAGCAAAATAGGTCGCCGTTTTCCCCTCTTGGATGCTAAATTATATGCATTTCAAATGTTCTCAGCAATAGATTATGTGAATGCCTTAGGCATTGCGCATCGAGATGTTAAACCATCTAACCTGATTGTTGATGACGAAAAGGGGATCTTAAAACTGGCTGATTTTGGAAGTGCAAAACTGTTAAGAGAAAGCGAAGAAAATACGCCATATCAGGTTAGTGCTACCCACAGAGATTAAAAAAGGGATGGTTTGATAAAAAGTGCTTTGAAATTTGATAAATCAATATTCGTTTTCAGGTGACACGTTATTATCGAGCACCGGAACTGATATTCGGTTCGACTAGGTATTCAACAGCAGTGGACGTCTGGGCATGCGGTTGTGTTTTATCCGAATTTGTCACTGGCAAAGTACTCTTACAGGGACGTACTTGGCAGGATCAAGCTCGACTAGTCATCGATATATTTGGCTATCCGAGCACGGAGCAATGTCAGGCAATGAAAGTAAAAAAACCACGATATGCCCGAAAACGTGCCCGTAGTTTGCGAGTAGTGTTAAATGCATGCAATGCACCAGCCGATATGATCCAATTGCTGCAAGCTATCCTTGTTTATGAACCTCACCTGAGACTTAAAGGTAATGAAGTGCTCGGACATTCATTTTTTAACGATTTACGGAAAATTCCAGCACCAGTACGAAGTAATGGACGAGTAATACCACATTTAGATTACATTATTTATCAGCAGAGTACACAAAAGACACATTCTGAAGAAAGGGATGCTGACAGTTCGGACGAAGAGGAGATTGTGTCACGAAAATAATCAGATTTCAATTATTGTTTCTAGAAATTGAACATAATTTTTTCTTTTAATGTTATAAAAACCAATAAGAATTAACAATCGGAACACTTCAAATTAAAAGAATATTGAATGCTTTTTAAATCATTTCACAATGAAATGAGAAATAATGCCTAATGCAATAAGACTGCTGATCACTCATTAATAAGTTGTCGAAATTCTGTCAGAAATAAGTTAAGAATCTTAAATTTAGTAAAAATTAGTTGAATAGAAAAGTGATACTTTGTCGAGTTGTACATTCAAAATAAAAATCAATGAAGGAATTCACTTGTAAGTATTCTGATTTCACTGCACCCACACATGTTGACTGATTAAGAATGGAATACAATTAATGGCACTACTACCTGTATTGTTGCATAACTTTTTTAGTCTTCAGTCAATGACTCATGCTTGCCATCCACTTCACTTAAACTTTTATTACAACATTTGCTTTCCGTTGATTTTCAAACCAATTACATTATGTTTCCGGAAATTACAAATTTAATAATCTTTCTCGAATTGACTATGCAAAATTGTAAATAAGCCCTCTCGAAAACTGAAAAAGTAATATTTGCTAGAATATTCGTCTTTCCACTCATTTCTAATGAATTTGTCGAATTGTTATTATTCTACTTCAACCATCTTTTTATTTGTCGTATTCTCCAAAGCGTTAAGTTTTTGTTGGATTATGATTGTTTTGTTTTGTGCCATCTGTTTAATTCAGCATTCTATGTTGACATGTTCTTGTGTCAAAGATTAATCTGAGTAACGTTATAAATATTATGTTAATAAGGATAGCATAATACTATGCGATACATTTTCATTTCAATTTGTAAACAATTTATAGCACTTTTGTTTAATTTGAAGTTTGGGTATTTTAAATATCTTCTCTACAGTTTGTTGGTTATTTCTCGATGTTTTTCTATTGCGTTGACGAATCAGCATATTGCCTTCATTTCATCCATTTTTTCATTTGGCTTTTATGGGATTTGCCTTGCTTACTTTCCAAGATTCAGTAGAATCTGAAACATCATTTATAAATATTATTTACAAACGAAACAAGTAATGCAAACTGAATAATTAATTTTCTCTCTCATTTTTGGTTGATTTTGAAACAATTTAAGATTTCGAGCATTTGAAATATATTTCGAACCAAACAAAACTGTGCTTTCTGTGTTTTATAGCTATTAGTTTTTTTTTTTTTTTTTTTTCAATTAATGATCCAAATAAACATATCTAATGATTTTTCAACAGAATCTTCAAAAATCTGTTTCATTTTCGATGTGAAATGCTTTTTCAGCCTTGAGCTTTCCGCATAATCATTATGTTACAATGGCAAATTGCTGGATAAGAGGCATTGTCGCAACTGTGGCCAATGTGACAAATGACCAGCAGTTGTGGTCGTCATATTGGCATTCATAAGGATGTGGGGCCTAGTATAGAGAATAAGGCTCTCAGAATAAAAGAAAATGCTCTTAGCCAATTTTCTTATATTAGAACAAAATGCATTACATGCACCGCATCGATACTTAATAAATTGATGCCAAAATGAGGCAGATAATGAAACCTCCACAGTTTTCAATATTTTCACTTTGAACCGTTTTTACAATGATTCGTTTCAATTATGAATTCAAGTTTATTTCTATCCTTTGATTTAAATTAGCATTAAAACATTTTTCTCTGGCCTGCTTTATGGTGATTCAAATTTATCTTCTTTATTTTTCATAAATTTTAATTGCAGCAAACTGTTGGTCTTTGAAACGCTTTTTTCTAATCTTTTTATTCAGAAAACCTTTACATTTCATTAACTCCCGTTGAAATCGCTACTTCTGGATTTCTTTGGAAAAATTGAATAATCCGAAAAAATTTCTATTAATGTTTACACAAAGTATACTTCAAGAACTCATAAGGAACTGTGAGTCAAGTGGTGGTAAAGTTATTAAAACTTTGCGAACTTTGTAAACAAACACTTCAATGCAATTTATGAAACTTCCAAAAGAATTCAGTCCTTATCGAAAATTTCATCTTCATAGAGGGGAATGCATGCACGCGCACAGACACACACAGAATACACAAACAAATATGGAACACTTGAGACAACAAAAGCAAAGACTCAATTTGACAGCCCAGCTACTCCGTATTTAAGTTGGCCCAAAGAGCACAGCATTCATTCTTCAGTCCATCGGACTGATCCAAAGATAAATAAGTTCCTAGCTTTATCCGCTACTTTACTTTCATATTTTCTCTTTCGAGAAATTTAAGAATAGCCTAACTCGTTTACCAAGAAATTGCATTATCGTCTGAAAATTTGGTTTCGTCTTGAAGTTATTTCCTTGTAAAGCTTACTTTTGAGCCTAATTTCGTGCTTCTCTCAAATTCTCAAAAGGATGAACTTTGATTCGAATGAATCATCATTTCTCATTTCTTTGTATAATTTTCTGCTGTATTACAAAGCATATTAGTAATATCAATTATGTTTGATTGGTACTATTTTCCATTTCCACTTCTAATTTTTAAAAAAAATGTTTTTTTTTAAATTTATTTTTTCTTTTTGTCAAAAAATTAGTTAATTTCATAATTATCAGGAACATTATGCTGTGAGTAATAATGCCAAATTTGTAAATGTTTCCCTTATTCTGTAGATCGACTTAATAAGGAGATTGCCCCTTGATATAGCTTAATGGTAGCATTTAATTGTTCAATAATACTTCTAAAACAGTTGGAATAAGTTTCATTGTAATTAATACTTAAGCATAATAAGTATGAATAAAGAACTTAATAATACCAACCAAGGAAAGAGTTAGGCTTGAGAAGTATACTAAACACAAGTTATATGGTACATCCTATTCTTATTTATATGTTGCTCTGCTCCTATATCAAGTGACGACCATTTTTTTGTGATTATTTTTTAACCAACTTTAAGGCTTTTTTGATATGTACGATTTCCAAAACAAAATTTACACTATGAATTGTTTCACTTATATTTCTTCAATTCTTCATTTGCGGTAGTAAACATTCGAAAGAAATTGGCAGTCAAAAATGTCCGAGTGAAATAAACTAGTGGTAGTTTTAATTTTGATTGGAAAAGCATATCAGCTTAATAACTTAACATTCTGGCATATATGATATTTGTGACGAACTCGAGATCATAAGTTAAGGCTCTTTATCATTTCTCGGAAACATTCAATATAATCTTTAATTGCATGCAATGATTGGGTCATGATCTTGCATTATAACGATATGATTTATCGTAAATTACTGATTATTAAACAGATTTTCATGCCTGTACTATGTTGCTATGCAAAACGACGTCGTGCAAGAGCAGCAGCCAAATCACAAGATCAATGCAGAGTAAACATTTTATATTCCAGTAAAATTTTGAATTCTTAAGTTTTTAATGGAATTGAAGTGCATTAAAATCGATCATTCAATCAAGGAACTAAGGAATAATTTATAAATCTCTTGTATATACCATATACTTTTGTATGTAGTGATTGTGTTATTTTGTTGATTCTAGCAGTTTGCGATTGTTCAATAACAAACTTTTTCTCAATATCGACGGTATTGAAAAAAACATCTTCCGGATATTTCATTTAAAAAATTCTACTCCAACTAAATTTCACTAAAAGATTTTGTTGTTCAGAGTTAGCAAAAATTGGTGATTGTTCATGAAATGACTGGAGAGAAACAAGTTGGAAAGATATATTAACAGGGAAAGATAATATAATTATAAATCAAATCAACCAGTATCTTAAAATAGGATAGAATTAAGTAGAATATTTTCATTAAATAAAGTTTTTTAAACTAGAATATATTGCTATTCCTATTATTCTGTTCAGTCTTCTTTCAAAAGGGTTAGAGTTTTAAAACTATTTTCAGTGCTAAAGCACAAAGAGTTTTTATAAACTTATACAGTTGTATGTTCCATCTTAGAAACAACTTTTTTCATTAGAATTGGATAACAACCAAACAACTTTATGACTATTTGCTATGCATCATTATATGCACAAAAAAAAAGAATTTAAATTAGGATTATAGCTATATGAAAAGTTATAAAATTGTCTGATATTTGCAGCAAGGCACGAGATTGGCAAAATTAGACGAGTTGGAAAGTTTGACACCGCTAATGGTGATGTCAAGTGGTGACAACCAAACACAATCTTCGCGTTGTTATCGCATCTCCGCAACCACTTCACGAAGTCCACCACCGCCAAGGTGCCTGACCAGTGGAAAAACAATGATCGTTCCATTGAATTCCGGAAAAGGTTCATCCCAGCTATCACTGCAGCAAATCATCTTTACATCAAGAAAAAGAGAACAATTTTCGTTTAGAGTTGAAATCCCATTTCAAATTTTCGGTCTAATATCAGTTTGTTAGAATTTATCTTGCTCTAAAGACCGACTACTTTATTAACATTCATTATCAGAAAGAAAAATTAACTTCATCTACATTAATATCCTGAAAACTAGCTCGAATACTATTTTAACTTCCGAATACTGAATATTAGCTTGGCAAAGTAGAATTATATCAATTTACTGTTGCACTGATAGCAACTGATTTCTAGCAAATTTCATGAAATTTAAATCTTCTATGATTACCACTTCATTATCCTTAATTTATTTCTAATTAAACATCTACTTATCATATTTCATGAAAAGGAATATTTCATGCAATTTTTCTTTCCTTTAATTTCAAAAAGAATCGAAAGACTGCATGCAGTCAGTTATAAAACTTTTCTGAAAAAAATCAAAAAATGTCGATTTGTTAGAAAGGAAAATGAAGTATGAATAAGTCGGAAGCACTGTAATAGTATTTTCGTGCCGCAATTTAAGCCCAAGGAATAAATCCTTAGAATGAGCAAGAGATATATTATTTTGTTTTGTTCGTGTGCATATTGAATTTCAAATAAAATAAATTTCGAGAGCTTAAAAAATTGAAACAATTGCACTATTTTTCGAAATTAGAAAACGGCAGACTTATACAAAAATATATGTGCAAGAATTAACTGCAGAAGTATGAGTAGGATTGCTAAAACTTTCATTGAATTTTCGTTTTTCTCATTTTTTTCCTATGTCAAAATGTCTTGTCCATTTATATATCAAACTGAAGAAAGATTTCAAAATAAAGATTCCAGTTAAGCAATGCAAGGGATACTTCTAACCGCAAAAAAAGTGAACAGAAGTGAATTGGCTTCTAATTTGGATTTTCCTTTCAGACCCTTAAAATCTGTAATAGAGCTGATGATGGATTTTGTGCAGCAAATCATTTTTTGACTTAAAAATTTCAGGATGCGCGCTATTTGCACCATTGCTTGCTACACCTGATAGTAAAGTTGCATCATTCGAGAATGGTACTACGAAAACAATAGCGGAAGATAATGACAGTGTGCCGATATTCTCAAATCTGGATAAATTTGATGCTGATTTTATTTCCATTGATCGAGTTTGTTCATCGAGAATATTTAAACACCGTAAAGATCATTGATTTGACAAACGAACAATTTCGCTTTGGTTTCAGACTACTGCATCGTATTTGGAACCGAGACAGCAAAGATTTCAGCAATGTCAGTGCGGTATATCGAAGCAGGATAAAGCTCCCAACTTTGAGGTAGACTTTAACCTGTCAACTGCTTGGAAGGTTTTAGTTTTTCTCTTGCATTACCATTTTCTTGCACTTGGCCTGATTTCAGTTACCAATTCCGAGTTACGCGCCACCACCATTACCCCTACTTTTAGTTCGTTCACCACGGCGTGAGTTTTATCTCTTTCTTATTCTTGCATTTATTTTATTTTTTATTTACTTATATATTCTTTTGTAGCTTTTGTTAATTTAACGAGTTCCTCAGTGACTGGCCACTAGATACAGTCATGTCCTGGTGATTCGAGATAGACTCATGATGTCAGTCTTTAGACCGCTTCCTTTGATCTATTTCCTGACCAAACAGCTGGAAGTGGGATTCTCTGGTTGCACTGACCAGTAAGCCATTGCATCTTCTTTTCTTTGGTTATTAAATCTAACTCTAACAGTTTTAGTATTTTAGTTACTTTTGTCTAGATAACTATAGTTAAAACGACCTAGACGAATTAGAAATTATCTGGACAGAATCGAGACCGCAATCAGTAATTTCAGTCAATCTAAGAAAAGAATTACCATTGGTTATTGAAGCCAACAACGGTGATCTCGATAATGATAATGTGAAGACAAATAAAAGCCCAAGCATCAATTCAGTGAACTCTCTTGGAAGGTGTGCTGTTTTATGCAAAACCTACAACCTACGCAGGCTTGGCTTTCATCCTTTCAGAGCAGAATAATAGACATGGTAAGATTAGGTGCAAATTATCAAGCTATATCAGTATTCGGATTTTAAACATATTACAGCCCGCAAGAGTCATCGTTCAGCATGGGGTCGCCACTGGACACAAGTGCTTCCATTAGTGACAGTTTTTGCGTCGCTGGTGAAGGAGAGATGAATTCGGGAGGGAAAGGACGAGTTTCCTGTTTTGAAACAGGTAAGTTTGCAGAGATCAAAAGATTAAAAAGTAAGAGATAAAAGCTATAGCGAGATATGTTAAATTTCATTCAATGATCTTAACTGTTATTTTAGTGATCTTAACTATGTATGAATATCTATGCTTTAATTATTTAAAGTGAGATTCAGTGAGTTCTCAAAATACATAAAAAATATAAGATATAAACTGTAAGACATTTTAGGATTTCAGCAACGAATTGATAGAGAAATTTATGGATATTCTCCAGAACTAGACTACTCAATATCTGAACCAGATTCACAGCAGAAATATATTCTTCATCGGCGAGTTACCGGGATTTTTAATCTTTTTTCTTGTTAAAAAAATTTTTATTCTTTGTTTAAAAGTTACATACAGGAAATTGTATGATGGAATTCAGTTAAAATATTTTTCCTAAAGGTTGATAAAAGAACCTTATTTGATTAATCCATATTCAAGTAATACATTTCATGAAAATATATAAATACTACATTAGCAAAAAAATAAATAATTACAATTGTTCTTCAGTATATGAATTAATTACTCAATTTTTAGGATAGAAGAAGAATCAGAGCAAAATGGAGATGTGGAGACAGTTGGCATGGTGACAAGTCAAACGCTTGATTCGATCAAATCAAACTTTTCACATTCAAATCAAGCAGATTCGGAATATAACATTATTATTCCCCATTCTATTTCTCAGCAGGTAAAACTTGGAGTTCTGTCCTTCTCCAGCGATTAGAATTTTAAAAAAATCGAATTTCTCTAGTAACCATTTCGAGAATGCTCTTGTGGATGACTTGAAAACTTCATGTGACAATTTCCAGAAAATAACGAATGAAACTAAATTTAAGTTTTCTAATGTTTGAATTCAAGATAATGATATAAATATATCCAAAAATTATGAAAGGTTATTTCATTCTGTTCATTCATAACAAGTTTCAGTTTGAATTGATGAATCTTCGTGAACGCCTGGAGACAAATTGATATTATGCCATTTTGATGCATTCTCGAGCAATGAACTTATTAATTTGAAGTAATAAAAGTTATTTAAAGATGAAATTGATATCATATCTAAGAAATTATATTCCCAAAATTCATCAATTTCTAAGAAATTAATTTTAGTTAGCAGTCAGAAAAGTCTAAAATGACAAAATATGTCCTAATTATGACTAAGGCGCAGAAGAATTTGTCATCTGAACAAATTTAAGGAAAGCTGAATAGGAACAAGACATTCGAATGGTTTTTTTCACAAAATAGCCTTACTTTGTTTGATAACTAAAAAAGGGATTAAAAGAAATGTTGAAAGAATAGCATTAGAAGCCCTCGAGAAATTAGAAAACTGAAGAAGTAAAGAGATGATTGATTAATTCTACTGCAATATGTTATCAAGTATCATGTGAAGACAGATCAAATAGCTATGATTCATATGTTCAGAGAACTATATATTTTCAATTGCAGATCATAACAACAATATGTCTTTTAGCTAATTCCATGATTTGATAAAAATGAAAAATTCAAGTTGACTGACTATTGATATTTAAACTTTAAGGAGTGAACTCAATTTTAGATTAAGATGACTGGTGGATTTTAATATCGAATCATTTGATGATGCGGCTTATCAGATATGAAAATATAATTTCGTCTAAGAACTTTCTCTTCTGAGATTTGAACAGTAAAATTTGGCATGATATTGTTTTCGGAACGATAAACAAAACGATGCAATTGAGTGGTAATTAGGTATGTAAAAAATAAAAAATACGAAAGCTACCAATTGGAAAAAAAATTTTTATTGCAGCCATGGAATTCAGAATTATTACTAATCGTTAAAATAAAAGCACATTAACTTTCCTGCACAAAGCAAACTTACCGATATCTTACTTCAATGTAGTTACTAAATAGTCAAATTGAGATTTATACTTTTTCTTGAGGAATTATTTCTATTTCATTCTTGTGGAAATGGACAATAGTATGTTTTTCTGCATTTACTACTCATAGATAATAAACATCATTACACTAAAATGAAACTAATTAGTACGGTCTAATAGCCATCAATCATTTTTATCACCAATAACCATTTTATTATTGCTACATTGTTATTTTTGTTATTATTGTTTAATAAAATGAAATTTTTATGATATGTGTAAAAGATGACGTCATTTGTTTATAAGACACAATAAGTATTGGCTGTAGGTTGCATATTTCTACGTGTTTGCGGGAAGAACTTCAAAAATGTCATTATCAAAATTGCTCACTATTTTTCTATATTTGCAATCTAACATCCTCACTCAATACTACACGAGAAGAATAGATTAGTGTGATAGCTTTCTCGTCCCCTATATGTCCCACTGTCCCATAGGTTATTTAGAAGTGTGACCAGTTAGATTGTTTGCAAGTGGATATTCTCCCTGTTCTGCCAGAGACTCATCAAGAAAATTCTAATTCTGCAAGAACAGCTTACCAGAGACAGCCTCTTAAAAATGGATAAGTGGGAGGCAGGAAGCGGATTGTTAACTTTATTTGAGGACATTTCAGGATGTGAAAGAAATGACATTTTGCTGAAGTTAATTTTATCTCGATGCCTACTTATATCTTCTATCAGAAAGCAAGCCTATATGATTCAGTATAAATGAGAGAAACTCACTTATGCTTTTCGTCTTGGTTCTATTCCATTGAAATGAGATAATTTCCTTTCCATCCATTCAAAATCTATTCTTTCTTTCTCTTTCTCCCTTTCTCTCCCTTTCTCCTTTCAATGAATTCACCATCCTTCCATTTTAAAGCTTTCCGAAAATTTCGTCTTTTCGTTGCACCGTTTTTGACACATTCTAGTGGAAAATTTTCACATCGACATTTTACGAATTTTATTCATATCCAAGTTATTAGTTAAACTAAACAATAATGCCCATTTGGAACTATCTAGGATAAATGAGACTAAGGTAATTATTTCGTATAAAAGACAATTTAATTTCATCAATGCCGCTTTCAGCTTATGCTTACAACTTGAATAGTTTTTCAATCATAATATTGAGCTTTTGAATTAAAAAGTTCCAACATCTTTTGCTTTATTTATCATCTATGTTTTTCACACTTCAAAATTGAAAATGTCAATAAAGGGAAATTACTTCATTGGTTTTTGGGTAAATTGTGAAATGAATTAGCAGCTCTCCCATATTCTCCTCATCATAAAATTTTTTTTACCCGGAAACTGTTGCATTTTAATTTAATACCTCATGGACATAGTTATGCTAAGAATCTTCAATAAGCTTTCCAAGAAGGTTTTTGAAAGTATTTCAAAGATATTTTTCGGGATATAAATATCTTGAAAAATGCTTGAAAGATTCTAATAATTGGTCTTCAGAGCTTTCAATGAATTGTGGATTTCTTTTAGCTAATTCTCTGACCGGATTATCCGATCGGAAAGTAAAAATTGTTTGTTTTCAATGCATAAGGAATGACTTTAAAAACTGGTATACTTAATAAGTGATGCAGATAACGCAAGTTTCTGAAAATTTGATTTCTCTCGCTTTGACGGAAACACCTCACTTCTCCAAAATCAGTAATGATATATCAGAAAATTCGTCTACGAGTAAGTAAGCTTATACTGGATACTGCTATCGACAGTACATTTATGCATCATTAATCAATCATTTTCTTATCTTTTTATAATTACATTCATTATTAGATAATAATAATAATAATAATAATAATAATAATAATAATAATAACAATAATAATAATAATAATAATAATAATAATAATAATAATAATAATAATAATAATAATAACGCATTATCAATAAATTTATTTAGGGTAAAATTTTCAAGAATCTTTTTTTAAAGAATCAAGTTTTGTCTTGAATAAAGTTGAAGTAATTTCGTTAGAAATAATATGTACGAAAGAAAAATAAAATTTGCAAATAACTGAGAAACAAAAAGAAAAAGTAAATAAAGTCTCTTTTCTTTCGGAATTTGAAGAGTGACGAAATACAATTCCTTGAAAGCATTTCCTTTTCTTCTTTTCCCCTTCTAAAAAAGTAGAAAAACAAACAGCATGATGTCGAACACTTAATATTTCGTCTTTCTTTAACCACAGTGCAAAAAAATTTTCTATACTTTTAAAAATGAACTTTAATATTAAAATATTTTTGGATTAGTCATTAAGCCTGTGTTCTTCTTTTAATATGATTTTTTTTTAATTTTATTAAAAAAAAAATTTATCTAAATTCTTCTTATTCAGATAGCTCAAAGAATTTTGACAAAAGAATTTTTCAAGGCTAATAGAAGTTGTTTATGACACGAAGACTTATGATAGCCTGACAAATCTTGTGAAAAAATTTTCTATAAGAATGGATGAACGAATAAGAGAGAGATCACAACATCGATTTAAACTTAATTAACTCGACGAAAACAGTCATAATTTTCTTTTCTGGGTTTATTAGAATTTTTTTAATGAATCAATCTTTATCAGAAAAGAAAGGAATACTCAGATATAAAGCAAAATATTCGAAAAGAAATTGCTATTAGTAAAAAGAAGGAAATATTTTATGAAAATTTCAGAAATACATAAAGCTGTTTTGTTTGGAAATTCCTTAATGCTATATTATTTGCGAACCATCTATATGAGAAGAAAAGTTTGTGCATCGAGTAGAAAAGAAGGACGCCGAATTGGTTTATTACTGAAAATGACAAACTTATGCTTTTGAAGAAACCCACTAAGTTATTAGTTTTATTATTCAAAAATTTTATGAAAAAATTTCTTAAACTGAAGTAACTTATGAATTGCTAGCTTCTATACTTTTTTATAGTTCTATATATAATGTTTTTCCTGACTAATTTAAGTATATTAACACAGAATTAGCACAAATTATATGAATAAAGTAATAAAGAAGCGCTATTGAAGTCGATCCGACGGACAAACGAAGAAATGAAAGTTTGATAATAACCGTCAAATCATTACGCCTGTCAAAATAAAGATTGATCATTTTTGTTTTTGTTTTCTCCTTGCTCAGATTTATTGATCTGAAGTTTACCACCTTTAAAACATTTTTGCTAGCAAACTGCACTTAGTATTACTTTTCTCACTTAATCTCATTATTTATTAACCATTAATTCTAATTTAAATAACTACCAGTATATTATTATTGTTATGCTAAAGACAATAAAACAAGACTGAACTGCTACAATGCAATAAAATCTGACTGAAAGTATTTGTGATTTATAAACTAATTCATTAATTTATTTACGTGATGAATTAATGTAAAAGTTATGTTATAAGCTTTATCAGTGATAATTTTTGACAGATGATCGAAAATTATCACTAAATTATGTTTGAAATGTTGGTCATCATTAGTGTTTAGATTTATTACTTATTTGAATACTTATCAATGTGAAAGACATTCATACTGTTGATCTCGCTATTTGATATCAACAATCTACAACTTTTAGCCTTCAAAAACTTAACAACGCCAACATAAGCATTCCCAGCAGAAAACGTGATATTTGAACTGCATGATCTTCACTTAGCTGAAGCGCTTTATGATGAAAAGCGCATCGAGCATAACGTTTCTTTTAAAATGATAATCTTTCGGACATTAACAGCACAGCGTAAAATTATTCATCCTACTGCAGCAGTACTGTTTATGTTAATTATGTTATTAACAGTAACTGATATTTCATTGGCTCGGAAGCAAAAACGAAAACCTTGGTGAGCATTTTGAAATATATGCGTTTAATTAAGCGT